ACGCACGTTACAGCGTGAAGGTGGGCAAGAGCATCGAGGTCCTCATCCAACAGGAGAAGATCTGTTACGAGTATGCGGCCTCGGACCCGAACAGCGTTACCGCCACCGTCGAGAAGTCCCTCTAGTGGCTCGCACCCCCCCCCCCGCTTCGGAAACTCTTGTTCGGCAAATAACTTTTTCGCCACCCAATCAATTTTTCGCCTGCGCATGAAACAGTTATTTTGTGCCACTTCTTGGCGCTTTCGAGGGAATGGGAAGGCTGTGATGTGGTGTGCTCCTGCTGCTCCTCTTCCCAATCACGCTTCAGTATCAGGAGAGTCCAATAGATCAAGCATGGGGCGTATCGTCGTCGTTGTCACTCGGGTGCCGACGTGAACACGATGCAGTTGCCGCTGTGGGATAATTTGGGCGGCCGACACGCCGTTCCGCTCGGCTTGGCCGACGAACGTCGCGCTTTATCAACTCCGGATCGGCCGCTCGGACGGAGTGCACCATGTGTCTTCTTCCTCCCATCGTGTTGTCGTCGCCGCCACCTTCGTCGTCGTCCCCTTCGATTGGATGCCGATTTGCCCACCAGAGCCGATTCGATCTGGGCGTGGTTGGCCGAGGCCCAGTGGGAAGAAGGTCTTGAAGGCCATCAAGTTCAATTCCAAGACCGGCGACGAGGACGCCGAGTTTGCGTCGCTCGATCCCGTCAACAAGGTCGTGCTCCACCTCGGTCGCGCCCGATCCCGGCTCGCCACCGATGCCAACGCCACCGCGGAACAGATCGCGCGCTATCGCAAGCTTCAGGCGGGCTCGGGGTTGTCGACCGCGGTCACCTGGGCACCTTCATGTTTGGCGGAAGATTCGGCGGAAGAGTCGGCTGCAGGTGCAGCTGGTCGCACAGCCGGCCGAGGGCCTCAGACTCTCCGTTGACGACGGCCGTGTGGGCCGTGTGCGCCGCGGCCCAGCCGCTCTCCAGGCCCGAAGATGAAGCTCCGGGAGCGCAGCAGCCCAAAGTTGGGCGACGACGCAGAGGCCCTGAGCTGCGGCTGCTCGATCGACGAAGAAGAAGATGAAGTGGGGGAGGAGGGTGCGGAACAGATGAGGGGGGACTTGAAGAAGGGGGTCGTGGCGGCGTTGAGGAGGTGGGTGCCCTTGAGCTTGGTCTTCTTGGCGGCCGGCGCGTAGGCGTTGAGGCCCTGCTGCTCGAGGAATCGTACCAGCTTCTCGTGTTCCAGTCTCTGGGCTGCCGCGCCGGCTGGGCAGCGCAGCCGCTGGCCTGGCTCGCCACCGGAGTGAAGAGCTCATTCCTCGAATTCCTTCCGAGCGGGGGGTTTGGGCGAAAGGTCTAGTGTGGTGCGCTGGGTACGAGAGGTTCTTGAGTTCGATGGTTGAGTGTTGGCCAACACTGTGCGGGTGGTGATGTTCGTAGCTCGGGTGACGGCCGCGAACTCGGTCGCCTTGCGTGTAACCGGACCACCTCCAGGTACCCGAAACTGATTTCTCTGGGTTCCCCCGGGGGTGCTCCTCCTGGGAGCCCTCCATTGCAGTTGATTGGCTAGATTGGGGGACACATACAATTACATGGTAACCGCCTCAGGCACCGAGCGATTTTGCTGGCGATGCACACCAACGCACATACTCTTTGCGGGCTGTGTGTATTGTGTGTGTGTGTGCGTGCGTGATGTTGGTGCAATAGCGCGTTTTCTCGCCAATGACGGCCCACGCCTTGATCGACACAAAACAACGTTGCCACACCCGCAGCAAGACATGCACACAAGCCGTTTGGAAACAAAAAACGTGTAATACGGCTGCGGTATGGTCGGGAGAACCGTCTTTTCTTCTCAAGCCAGCATCTGGATGAAGGAGAGCTTGTTGTCGCTGTACGGCGGGTACCTGGACAGAAAAGTAAGTACAAAGAGTCACGGCCCGAGGCACTGAATAGTCCCGCCATGGGTGGCGAGCAGGTACCTGACCGAGAGGTCGAACTTGGTCGTCTTGTTGAGTACGCTCTTGTGGTGCGAGAAGACGTCGAACGACGCCTGGCCGTGGTAGGCTGCAGGTGAAGGAGGTGGGTTGAGTCGTTGTTGCCCGGGGAAGGGGAAACGAGTCCCCGCCCCAAAAAAAAAAAAAAAGCTCAGTTGTTGTCCGGGCGTACCGCCAATGCCGCTGTCGCCCACGCCACCGAACGGGAGGGAGTGGACGGTGAAGTGCATGATGGTGTCGTTCACCATGGCCCCGCCGGAGATGGTCTTCCTGTTTTGTCGTTGGTCGTTGGTCGAGGAAAGCGACTAGATTTGAGCCACACACACAGCAGAGAGGCGGTGGATGGTCGTACTTGAGTACAAGGTCCACGTTGGCGCTATTCTTGGAGAAGAGGTAAAGCGCCAACGGATGACGGTCTGACGTAG